GGGCATCCTTGTCTGGTTCCTGTTCTCAAGAGGAATGGTTCCAGTCTCTCTCCATTGAGAATAATGTTGGCTGTTGGTTTTGCATAAATGCCCTTTATCATGTTGAGGAATGTCCCTTCTATTCCTGTTTTGGTGAGAGTTTTGATCAGGAATGGGTGTTGGATTTTATCAAATGCCTTGTGTGCATAACTGATATGATCATGTGGTTTTTCTCCTTTGTTTGCTTTTTAATTTTTTAAGAACAAATTTTTAAATATATAAAGGTAAAAAGAATAATATAAAATACTCATATCTCATCACCCAGAATTAGCCATTATTAACATTGAATCTTCCAACATCACAGCAACAGGCAAGCCACCAAAGTACAATGCTGTGATGCTGGAAGCTATGTCACTGGTAATACCAGCAGGGTCACCCACAGTGGCCAGGTTTCAGCAGAGCTTCCAGACTAAAACAGACATGAAGAAAGGACAGGGCTATCCACTGCTGAAAAAACTGACCACTGAAGACTTTATGAATAGCAGGCAAGCACTGTCTGATACAGTGCTAGAAGATGAGCTCCTCAGGTTGGAAGGCATTCACAATATGACTGAGGAATAGTTGTCTTCTCAAAACAGAGATGACCTTAATGACGTGGATGGAGTAAAGCTTTCAGGACCTTTATTTGCTGATATGGCATTACTCAACATATGAAATAGCTGCAAACATCCATTAATACCCAATAAGGTAGAATGTACAAAGTATGAATCTAAGAAAATTAGAAGTTGTCCAAAATGAAATGGAATGCATAAAGTTTGATATCCTAGGCATCAGTGACCTAAAATGGATCAGTAATTGGTCATTTTGAATCATGCCGTCATATGGTGTACTATGCCAGGAATGACAAATTGAAGAGGAATGGCATCACATTCATCATCAAAAAGAATATTTAAGATCTATCCTGAAGTACAATGCTGTCAGTTATAGGATAATATTCATATAGCTACAAGGAAGATCAGGTAATACTACTATTATTCAAATTTACACACTAACTACCAAAGCCAAAGGTAAGGAAATTTAAGATTTTTACCAATTTCTGCAGTCTGAAACTGACCAACCAAGCAATTACTGGTGATTGGAATGGGAAAGTTGGAAACAAAAGAAAAATGA